ATTAACATATTCAAAGTTCAAAGGGGAGTAGAAATTCATTACTAGAATGGGAGAGGTCATTTTTTTCCTGGATCACTCCCAAACAGAAAATTGAGAACAGGATTTGTTGCAGTAAAACCCCAAAGGGATTGGTTTTTTCCTTCAGTGAAGCCAACAGATGTTTTCATTCTTTTTAGGGCCAACTCTCGGTTAACCAGCACTTGGACATTCAGTTCAGGCTTTTTTTTTTTTTTTCCTTTTTCAAGATATAAAATCACAAGAGCCTCTCTGTGGTCAGTGTTTGAGAGATTATCCTGATGTTAGACTATCTAGTATCTAGAGCAAAAAGTCAAAGCACAAATAAAGTATATTTTCCTGTTTATCAGCATTTTGACTTCCAATATTGTCATCTCATTTTTCCTCTTTACCATTACAATCTCTAGCTATCTCCTTCATGCTAGCATGTAGATAGGTCCTCAGATCTTTGAAGCCTCAATATACACATCCTTCCCAAGTGACCTCATAAGATTCCTCTTCATGTGGTACAACATAGAACAGTTAGAAATTTAGGACAGGCATAGAATTTTAAGTGCCATATAACACTACAATGAATACCTACAGGAGTTCTCATTTACTAATGTTTTTCCAGGTTAAAGATTTTCTTTTTAAACATAGCATCAATGATACCACTGTCATTCATTTATAGTATTCTAGCAAAACCTCAATCCCAGGGGCATGGGACACTGGATGGACATATTTTGTCATCTGTTCCTCCCGTAAGAGGGGGAAGGAAGGAACGTGTAGCATGCCAAGCCCTTTTAGCATTATTATTTCATTTAATTTTCCAACAATATACTAGAATACCACTCACCTCATTATACAGATGAAATGAAAATTTGGAGAGATTAAGTAACATACTCAAGGTCACATGGCTGGTAAGTATCACCTACTACTGTTCCAATTCAGTTTTGCACTGTATATTTTACCTCCTCAATCAAGAGACAGAATATGACAACTTTAAATATAGTTCACCCAGATTGATTTATAAGTGGATTATCTTGTTTGTAAGTGACTGTGGATCTTGGGGATCATTCACTTTACAAGCTTGTGAACCGATGACACCAGCAGTATCAAGTCAAAAGGAAACTAGGAATAAACACAGAAGAGTACAATGTATATGAATGTGTTTATGTTTGCCTAGCTGAGCTAATGTGAATATGACCTGATATGCAGCAGTAAAGGAGTGCTTGGGTGTTTGATGGCCTGAAGGATGAATAATTAGGAGCAGAATATAGGGTATAACTGAGCTCAGATTACAGAGGTTAAGGGTAACAACTATGAGATCTCATGCAAAGTTACGGATGACTGAGGGCTACTAGATGCAGCTAGATAACCCTATCATTGTGCCATTGAGGAAACTAAAGACCAGGGTGGGGTGACTTCTGATGCCTCCCAGAACACCCTCAGAAAAATGAAGAGTTGAGTTGATAAGGAAGCTGAAGTCAAGCAATAAAATTTGCTCATAACTATAAACCCAAGCCATGCTCAGCCAAGACCAGATCTCCTTGTAATCTTGCTCATTTATTTCTTTATCTGAGCGGATTTAGCTCAGTGGTTCCAGCGCCTGCCTCATAAGCACAAGGTCCTGAGTTCAATCTCTGGCACACACACACACACACAAAAAAAAGTGAACATTATTTCTTTATCAGTTTGCATTTTTACCAATCAATTAATATCAAATACCAATTGTTGGGTGATTTACTCTACTTACTGGGTACGCCTATAAACAAGTTTATTTGGGTTATCTCATTTAATCATCACAGCAACATTATTCTAATATTACACTGGGAGAAATCAATCTTTTTTTTTTTTTTGGTACGGGGATCACACTCAGGTTGCAGGCAGGTGAGGCGCCACTGAGCTAAATCCCCACCTGGGAAATCAATTCTTAAATGGATTACATAAAGGCTGGGGTATAGTTAAGTGCTAAAGGACTTGTCTTACATTTTAGAGTTTAATCCCCAGCAACACATACACACACACACACACACACACACACATACATACTTTCTTTCTCTTCATAAGTATGAAGGCTTCAGGTAAATATAAAGGAATTTCTCCATGGAAGCATTCTTTTAAGTTACCTGATCATAAACAAGCCACATTTTAATATTAAAAACTAGAGAATAAAAGAAGCAAAAAATAGCCTTACATCCAAGAAATTGAAAAAAACCCTTAATTTCTGGAACAAAGAGGAAATGAAATCAGAATCTGAAGCATGCTGATGATAATCATTAAGGCTGCATAGCAGACTTCATGGAAGATAGTTAAAGGAAGCACTACTAAAATAAAAATTTATATTTGTCGTGTTAAAAGGAAAACTTTAAGCAAAATATATTTAACAGTTTATTTGAGCATTAAAAGATCCATGAATCAGGCAGCATTGAAAACCAGGAGGGGTTCAGAAAGCTCTCTTTAGCAGCATGAGCAGCAGGCTTTTATATGCCAAAGGCAGAAACCAAGAAATCACTGGACTGGTTGCAGCTTGGTGTGGGCTGAGCCAGTGGAAAGTGTGAGCCAGTGGAAAGTCCCCACTGGCTTCTGAATGGTGATGCTTGAGTTTGGGTTGATTGTTTTCATCCAATTGGATTTTGTTTGCTTACATGGGAATCCAGGGTACTGGGGTCACCTCAGCCTAACAGCATCCCAGTGGATTATTTTAACAGTGTAAACAAGAAAGCAGTCACTACTTCAAAACTTTAGGGTATAAACTACAAAAGAAACCCAAAGAAAAAGGAGATAAAAGGATAAATGAATACATCATAAAGCCAAAAGTATGATAAAACCAATAAATGCAAAAGCAAGAAATCCTCTAGATGATAGACTGTTAGTTAAATTTATCACAAAAAATAAAGCAAAGATATTCAAAAGAACAAAAAAGATGGGAAGGAATCACAACTACAAAGGAGATACAAACAATAATAAACTATAGATAACTAAAAATTAAAAACTAAGAGAAATATGTGATTTTCCAGAATTGTCTCCAGAGGGAAGGGGAAAAAAAATCAAAGACTAATTTTCAACAAAGAAACAAGGATATATGTCAAAGAACTACTTCCTAAGAGCTTTTATTTGTTCTCCTGAAATGGTTTTTCTATTCAGATGTATCTAAGTGTTGCTGAAGTTACCCTATCCCATAATAGTTTAGTAAAATTCAACTATGAAATTTAATATAGGACTGATATTTTTGGGACATAATATGTTAAAAATGGTATTACAAATAAGTGTGAAGAAATAGAGATTATTTAAATAATGATGCAGGGACAACTTGGAGAAAAAATTCCCATCAATGCCTTATTAGATGAAAAATATTTAGAAGAAAAAAATAAAAATAAAATAAAAAAAACTATTCATAAATTATACAAATTTTAAAAAATAAAAAATGTTTAGAAGATGGATCTGTATAATCTCATATAATGAAACAATTCCATAATATGAAAGAAAACCTAGAAACTATTTATAAAAATTGATAGGTTAGAATAACTAAAAATCAAATTTTCTGTATAAAAATATACCATAAAAAAGATGAACAGAAAAAATGAGCTATGTAAAATACTGGTGAAACATATAAAAGTTATTTTCCTTAGCACTTAAATACCTCCTAAAAGTCAATTTAAAAAAAATATTTTATTCTTTTATTGGTACATTTTAGGTATACAATACATTTACATTTATCATTGGGTGCTTGTACCTGTACATGAT